ACTTTTCTTATAAAAACAAGTTCCCATGTTATAACATGTTTAACAGTTTGTAGAAATCTAACCACTTACAGGAAGTGACAGTTTCTGTAAGCCCCTGCCTGCGCCTCTCCACCTATGTAGGCAGACATCAGGAGCTACTTGTTAGGCCTCATTCACACAAGAAAAGGCTGACATGTACAGCTCCATACTGCGTGCAGTGACGTATCGGGTTGCTCTGAGGAAGGACAGGTGCTGCGTGTGATTAGAATGCAGCCCCTGTCCTGCTCTATGGGACTACGCGGCTGTACGCCGTCCTACCCTCACATGCGTGCGGGTGTGGGTGTCCGTACTCGTATGCTAAAGGATGGATCCTGTCTGTGTCCGAGCCGGGACACCCGCACTTGGGGTGAGCTTAGGGTGGCGTATGGCAGACCTAGTGTGTTTTTTTGAGACAAAAAAAAAAAAAAATATGACAGTGTCTTATTTTCGGGGAAACACGATACAGCATAATCACACGCAGCTACAGTGCATAGAGAACACAATGTCCTGACTGTGCGTTTCTAACAATTTGAGGTTTTAGTTGCACAACTTTTGTTGTTGTATATGTTGAAACCACACTGCCTCGTGGAGACTGCTCTGTATATTGGGCTCCCTAACTTTAAAGCTATGAGAGACTCCAACTTGGAACATATATAGCAAAAGGATGAATTGAGTGCAGGTATCTTGGGAGCTTTCATTGCGATGGAAAAACTGAGTGCGGCCATGCCTTGGAGGTAGCCCATCTCCATTAAAAGGCACAGGAACACACCAGAAGCCCAGCACATCACAATGGCAACTGAACTGAAGACCACCAGCGTGTCCCCGCACCAAATCCAGCAAAACAAAATTTGGCAAATCGTACGAAACAATTTGTAACTAGCTTTTAAAGTAACGTGCACATGGAAGGGCTCTACACAGTACAAAAACACAAAGATATGCCCCAACATAATGGCCAGCGATTTAGGACCACACTACACAGAGGAGTCATGACGAGGCAGTGTGGCTTTTACAAAAAAGTTGCAACTAAACCTCTGTTTTAAAAGCAAATTGTTAGACAGTCAATTTTTTTTGCAGGCTGGTGAGTGCTGGAAAATGTCTGTGTAAATCCCTTCCATGTGCACCTTATTTTAAAGCTCATTATTCTTTGATTTGTGTGGTTGTGGTTTTTGTTTTGGTCTACAGAAACCTGCGCACATTTATACGAGCTATGACCATAAAAGCAACAAACAAAATTCAAAAGACTCACCAGTGGCCATCAGGGCAGAGAGGACACATAGTAGATCCAGTATAGTAGGGGCCATTGTCAGTGTGAGCTTGGCTAAGGTATGGGAGGCATGTAAGAGGAGGCTTGCCTTGGCTCTAATATGAGCACTTGCTGCAACAGAGGTGTACCGCCCTTACGTTCTGCTTCCTCCCTTCTGTATTAACTATCTCCTTCCTCTGTGATTCTCTCTCTCTCTCTCTCTCTCTCTCTCTCTCTCTCTCTCTCTCTCTCTCTCTCTCTCTCTCGTCTTTCTCTTCTTTTTTTCTCTTTTCCATCCTTTCCTCTCTTCTCCCTTCCTTATTTATTTCTGTAATCTTGCTCTTTACACATCTTCTCTTCCTCTGTTCTTTTTATCTCTCCTCTCTTTCCTCAAACCTTCCATCTCTCTCAGTCCCTGTATTCATCTTTCTGCCTTCCCTTTTTTAATCTGTTTCTCCTATCCATCCTTTCCCATTCTTTCTTTCTTTCTTTCTTTCTCACTCTCTCTCCTCCCTCTCTTTCTCCCTCACTCTCTCCATTCTCTCTTTCGTCTTTCTCTTTCTCTCTCGCTCTCTCGCTTTCTATCTCTGCATATCTCTTTCTCTCTGTCTGCTTCCTTCTCTCTCTATCCCTCTCCTTTCCTCCCTCTCTTCCCCCCCTCTCTCTCTCCATTTCACTCTGCCTCCTTCCTTCCTTCCTTTCTCTCTCTCTCTCTCTCTCTCTCTCTCTCTCTCTCTCTCTCTCTTCCACTCTCTGGCTTTCTATCTCTGCATATCTCTATCTCTTTCTCTCTCCCACCCTTCTGTTTTTTCTGTCTTTATCATATATTTTACAAACACATTTTAGCATTGCCAAAGCAAGTTGAGAATTATTATGAGATGGGTGGGGGGCAACACAAAATAATTTGGGACATTATAGGAGATAAGGGATAATATAAAGGAGATAGGAGGCGTTTCCAGAAACATGATCAGGGTAGAGGATATAGAAGTGTGGGACTGTTTGATCTACCTCACAGTCCGTGACATCTGTAAAATATTGTGCAGCTATTTCTGTTGCTGGATGCTCTTTTCTCAGAGGGAAGCGGGGTGGAAGTGAAGCGGTTCTGTAACATTTCCAGGTAAAACTCTAACTCATCTCTTGTTCTAGTGGAACATATAAATAAAAAAAATATAAAGTTTTGGAGGAAAGCAACCCTACTGTAGCCAAAAAGAGAAGAAAAAAAACAGTAAAATGATTTTATTTTGCTTTTTTATTTTATTTATTTATTTATTTTTTAGTATGACAACACTAACATTCCAGAATACAAAAAAAAAATAAAAAAATCATTACATAAAATAAATTTGATCTTTTCCATTGTCTGTGGAATGTGATGCTTTACATCTCTTGTGTGACATGAATGAATACAATAATGTGATGGATACACCGCTTGTATTTTCCGTTACCTCCATTAACCATTGTCAATCTGCTGAAATGAATACTCTGGTGCCCCCCGGTGGGTACAATAGGTCATGCGCTTGTGACTGTCGGGCTACAAAAATAGCGAGTTTAATGTGCAAAAGGGCCACTAAACATAAATGACTAAAAGGGTTATTCACAGAAGTGTGAAGAGTTTGGAGAAGGCAGGAGATGCGAACAATCTGGGACAACATAGCTGAACTGGAAAGTGAAATGAATTGGGGAATTTTTCCAAATCGGCTATTTTGTCCTAGATTGTTCACGTCTTCTGCCTTCTCCAAACTCTTTACCCTTTAGTGAATAGCCCTGTAAGTTTTTATTAATAGATTTATGAATATATACATATATACACTACCTGACCACCTGGATTTAGCTAAGCAAACATGTTGAAACTGCTGAAACTACTAAAATTGGGTTAGGAACTGTCCAATGCATTATTACAATCTGGAAGGATAGTGGTGAACCATCACCTTCATGGAAGAAATGTGGTCGGAAAAAAATCTTGAATGATCGTGATCAGAGATCACTGGAACGTTTGGTAACAACTTATCGTAAAAAATCAACATTAGAACTCACGGCAATGTTTAATAGTCAAAGTAAAAGCATTTCCACACGCGCAATGCAAAGAGAACTTAAGGGATTGGGACTAAACAGATATGTAGCCTTAAAAAAAAACAATCATCAGTGAGGCCAATCAGAAAGAAAAGGCTTCAATTTGTTAGGGAGCATAAAGATTGGACTCTGGAGCAATGGAAAAAGGTCATGTGGTCTAATGAGTCCAGACTGACCCTATTCCAGAGTGATGGCCACATCAGGGTAAGAAGAGAGGCAGACACACCCATCATGCCTGGTGCCTACCGTACAAGCCTGTGAAGGGCAGTGTTATGATCTGGGGTTGCTTCAGTTGGTCAGGTTTAGGTTCAGCAACATTATGTGCCCAACATTGAGGCCAGCTGCCTACCTGAATATACTGAATAACCAGGTTTTTCCATCAATGGATTTTTTCTTCCCTGATGTCACGTCTGACATATTCCAAGATGACAATGCCAGGATTCATCGGGCTCAGATTGTGAAAGAGTGGTTCAGGGAGCATGAGACATCATTGTCACACAGGGATTGGCCACCTCAGAGTCCAGACCTTAACCCCATTGAGGATCTTTGGGATGTGCTGGAGAAGACTTTACACAGTGGTCCGACTCTCCCATCATTACTACAAGATCTTGGTGAAAAATAAATACAACTCTGGATGGAAAAAAAATGTTGTGACATCGGATAAGCTTATTGTAATAATGCCATATGCTGAATTTGTGCTGTAATCAAAGCCAGAGGCGGTCCAATTATATATTATGGAACAAATACTGTTGCTTGCAGATACTCATTGTACGGCTCTCCAGCCCTTCAGCGAACAAACTGTCTCCTGCTACAGCCAAATGTTTCAAACTTTGACTCATCAGTCCAGAGCACATGCTGCCATTTTTCTCTGCGGTCTTGCGGCCAAAAAGCCATACCTCCGACGTGGAAACAAGGCTAAGCGACTCAACTATGCATGAAAACATAGGCAGCAGGTGCTCTGAACTGACGAGTCAAAGTTTGAAACATTTGGCTGTAGCAGGAGACAGTTTGTTCGCCGAAGGGCTGGAGAGCGGGACAATAATGAGTGCCTGCAGCAACAGTGAAGCATGGTGGACGCACCTTGCAAGTCTGGGGCTGCATTTCTGCCAATGAAGTTGGATATTTGGTCAGGATCAATGGTGCCCTCAATGCTGAGAAATACAAGCAGATACTTATCCATCATGCCATGTGTGATTGGCCCCAAATTTATTCTGCAGCAGTACGACCTCAAACATACAGCCAATTAAGAACTATCTTGAGTGTAAAGAAGAACAACGAGTCCTGGAAGTGATGGTTTGGCCCCCACAGAGCCCTGATCTCAACATCATGGAGTCTGTTTGGGATTACATGAAGAGACAGAAGGATTTAAGGCAGCCTACATCCACAGAAGATCTGTGGTTAGTCCTCCAAGATGTTTGGAACAAGCTACCTGCCGACCGAGTTCCTTCACAAACTGTGTACAAGTGTACCTAGAAGAAGGCAAAGGGAGGGGGGTCACCCCAAATATTGATCTGACCTCGATTTCTCCTCTCTTCATTTATTTTCTATTTTGTTCATTGATAAAAAAGAAACCTTTAATTTCTGAAACATTCTCACGTTACAGCATTTTTTCATACCTGCCTAAAACCTTTGCACAGTACTGTGTGTGTATATATATATATATATATATCTTTCAGGCAGTAATAAGAAGCAGCATCATAACAACTGCCATAATTCCATGCAGATTAAAGTGGTGGTGAAGTCCATTTACTGATCCGGTGCAGGTAATTTGAACCTCGGCAGATAGGCCATCGGTGGGATGGGTCTGATTGCCAATGCTGCAGATACTTGGAGTGGCGCATCCTCGAAGAATGCGCTCGGTGGACTGTGCTCCTGGCCCTGGAGTGGATACAATATGAGATCAGCAGAGCATTAATGTCAGATATCGCCATTTTAAACAGAGGCAGTCATTGTTTAGACCTGTTGCATGATACAGCTTGCAAGACTTGCAAATCTATCTATCTATCTATCTGTCTGTCTGTCTGTCTGTCTGTCTGTAATGTATCTATCATACAGGATTTATATAGTGCCAACAGTTTGCGCAGCGCTTTACAATATAAGGAAGACTTTACAATCACAATACAATTCAAGACACGATGGTAAGGAAGGCCCTGCCCCTGAGGGTTTACAATCTAAAAGGGAGGGGCAAGTGATACTTGAGGAGGGAGCTGTGTGCGGATGAATTGTTTGTGAACATGATGGTTGAGCGGTTAGGTTGAGGTGGGATAGGCTTCCCTGAATAGATGAGTCTTCAGGGATCACCTAAAGGCAGTCAGAGTGAAAAATAGACAGGTTGGGCTAGAGAGTTCCATAGGATGGGAGAGACTCTAGAGAAGTCCTGGAGGAGAGCATGGGAGGAGTTGACGAGGGAGCTGGAAAGCAGAAGGTCTTTTGAAGAGCGGAGGGAACGGTTAGGGTGATACTTTGAAACCAGGTTGGAGATATAGCTGGGGCAGAGTTGTGGACGGCTTTGTAAGTCATTGGTAATATTTTGAATTTTATCCTTTGGGCTATTGGAAGCCAGTGCAGGGATTAGCAGAGGGGGATGGAGGCCAGTGCAGGGATCGGCAGAGGGGGGTTGCAGACACTGAGCGGTTGGTCAGGTGGATGAGTCTAGCAGCAGCTTTCATGATAGACTGAAGGGGGAGGAGCCTGTGTAGAGGTCGGCCAATGAGGAGGGAGTTGCAATAGTCAAGACGAGATATAGAAAGTGAGTGGATGAGTAATTTGGCGGTTTCCTTGGTGAGGAAGGGGCATATTTTGGAGATGTTACAAAGGTGAAGGCGGCAGGATTTGGATAGTGATTGGATGTGGGGAAGAAAGGTGAGGTCCGAGTCAAGGATGACACCTAGCACATTGGCATGGGGGGAGGGTTGGATAGTTGTGTTATCAATCTCAAGGGAAAAGTTTGCGGAAGGTGTTTACGGTCAGTTTTTGAAACGTTGATCCTGCCACAGTAGTGCACCTAATGCAGCTTCTTGTGATGGGGTGGCCACAATGCTGCACCGCTCCTGAGTTCAGAGCTCAGTTGTCACTCTCATGTAGCCCGAGAAAAGGGCAGCGGGCATGGCTATCAGAATTGTCACTGCTGATTCACAGGCCTGTAGCTTGTCAATCAGCACCTGTACACACCTTGTCCCGCCCACTGCTTTATGGATTAGCAGCACTGCATCCTATAAATGGACGAGCTGTGTACTATATCCGATTCTTCCTGTTCACATACCTGTGATTTTCGAGTATTGTACAATGCACCTCGTCTCCTCTCCAGTACATTTCATGGTCATCTCAGTGTCACACCATTGAGTTCCATTAGCCTTACAGGTAGGACAAGTCAAGCCATTGGGTTTATCGTCATCTGGTAATACTTTAGAGGAAAAGAGGAAAATGCAGCATTAGCAAGGCCATCCCTGAGCTCCAGTTCAGTCACTTTGCCTAAGCAGAACATCAGAAAAGACGCTTCTAATGCACATTGTGGGAGGCTCACAGTGTGCAGTGACATCAGAGGAAGGACTTTCAGTGCAGGAGAGGAGCCGGTACAACTGTGAAGACTGAAGGGGAGGCCGGAGGTCACATGTAAGACTGAAGGGGAGACCATAATAACATATTAGTCTGGGCACTACTCACACTGAGGCTGGGTCGGGGTGCAGTTATCGGTGTAACAACAAGATATCCCCTTTTTTGATTTGCTGTTGTAAGTGCTGAAAATTCCCGGCCGCTGACACTGACCTTCTGGCACGCACGATCTTCCAAAGTACTCATCCTTCTTTACCCCGTCTGTGAGTAGAAGATAAAAGTTAAAATTGTATACATTTTTTGGGTGTCTAGTCAGCCTTATCAGTTACTTTGTTTCCACTATCTCTGTTGACTTTAGAACCCCTCCTCCTATGATATGGAGAAGTGAAGGTGTTCTGCGGTCTTGCCAAGAGTGAGCGTTGTCACCCTAGGACAGGAAGCGTGTTACTGGCAGGATCACCAGGTGAAATAATGAAAAAAGAAAACAAAGGGCCAAAAGATACAAAACATACATGAAATCACCCTAATACATGTTATAAATTAAAGTGGATTCAAAACCAAATTTTTGTTTTGGATAGAGAAGGGAAAGGTTGGGGGGGGGGGGGGGTC